TTTTTGGGCCTTCTGCTCCTCTGTACTCCGCATGGCGGAACCGGCCTGCACACCAAGGGGGCCCTTCCCCTGGATACGATCACTTTTTACAAGGTCATTCCCAAAAGCAAGTTCGTCTTGGTGAAGTTCGACACACAGTACCCCTACGGTGAGAAGCAGGATGAGTTCAAGCGTCTTGCTGAAAACTCGGCCTCCAGCGATGATCTCTTGGTGGCAGAGGTGGGGATCTCAGATTATGGTGACAAGTTGAACATGGAGCTGAGTGAGAAATACAAGCTAGACAAAGAGAGTTATCCAGTCTTCTACCTCTTCAGGGATGGGGACTTTGAGAACCCAGTCCCATACAGTGGGGCAGTGAAGGTTGGTGCCATCCAGCGATGGCTAAAGGGGCAAGGGGTCTACCTAGGTATGCCTGGTTGCCTGCCTACATACGATGCTCTGGCTGGGGAGTTCATTAGGGCCTCTAGTGTGGAGGCCCGCCAGGCCCTCTTGACACAGGGGCGTGGCAGCCTCTCAAGTGTGAAAGAGACTGAGAAGAAGTGGGCTGAGCAATACCTGAAGATCATGGGGAAAATCTTAGACCAAGGGGAGGACTTCCCAGCATCAGAAATGACCCGGATTGCCAAACTTATAGAGAAGAACAAGATGAGCGATGGGAAGAAGGAGGAGCTCCAGAAGAGCTTAAACATCCTGACTGCCTTCCAGAAGAAAGGGGCTGAGAAGGAGGAGCTATAAAAAGGCCCAGTAGGGTTTTCCAGTGTTTGGTGGGGGTGGGGTGGGGTAGGGAGGGGAGACTTACCTGCTGGCTGCAAGACCCTTGTTGGATTGTAAGAGAGTGAAGGGAAAAATGGTACTGCACTGGAATTCTGAGCCTTGATTATGCTTGGACATTGATGCTGATGTGACCATGCTTGGGACATCTAGATAACCAGTCTGAGGAGAGGTGGAACGCTTAAACAGATGGCAAGTGCCCCTCAGAAGGAATAGGTGCTTACAGTCCTTGACAGGTATAATTCTAATCCAATTAAAGTTTCAGTGTTTTGGGTAAGTGGACCTGAAGTCATTCAGTTTCCTTTTCAAACTACACCTTGGCTTATGACTTGCTTTCCTCTTTGTTTTCATTTTCTTCTTTGAATCTAAGCATGGACTCAGGGCGGTGCCTGTGGCTGTGAGTAGCGCGCTGGCCCCATATACTGAGCGTGGCAGATTCAAAAACTGACCCTGGCCAAACTGCCACACACAAAAAAATAAGCTGGTGAACTTTACTCTCCTACGGTAACTGTCCTGGTAACACTGTGGAAACTGGTCCAAGTTCAAGAAGTACCTCTGTTGTTTTTCCAATTATGTTCAGATTCACATGGACTGACTGAGTGGTAAAATTTGTTGCCCAGTTTCTGATCCTTAAAACTCTGCAACATTGATGAACCATGGTATAACTATTTTCCACATTCTATGACATACATATAGTATATTTGTAATTTACTGATAAAATCTTTTTAGATTGAGATTTAAGGGTGGTGCCTGTAGTCACAGCTACTCAGGAGGCTGAGGCAAGAGAATC